ATGTACCTTCAACGAATTTCAGGTTAATTGTGCACCAAATGATCAATATCAGTCCAAAAGCCCTGAGTTTTGGTACACCCGACCAAATTTAGTCTAAAAGCAATACATCGAATTTGGAGAAAATAGGTTCAGAAAAAGCTACAGATCCCATATATATGCTTCATCCGATTTGGTATTTAGATCCCTCAAATTCGCAATATACATTCGCCAACAATGATAGTTGGTACCAGATATCTTATCGAATTTGGAAATACATCTACCCAATTTTATCAAGATCGGTTTAGATTTGGATATAGCTCCCATATATACATTCAATCGAATTCGGGTTAATTGTGCCCCAAATGGACAATATCTGTACAAAAAAGTCCTGCATTTTGGTACATTAAATCTGGAGAAAATCGGTCCAATATAACTATAGCTCCCTTACATATGTTTAATCCATTTTGGTGTTTAAGTCCCTAACATTTGTAATATAAAATAAATAATCTAATAAAGCTCGGAAATACCTTTGCAAATTTGTTTCGAGAACGACTAAGATTTGAATATAGCTCCCAAACATATCATTAATCCGATTTCAGGTTTATTATGCAAATAATGGCTAATATCAGCCCAAATTGAGTGAATTTCGGGACGTACGTTTCCATTTTGTGCAACTCGGCTCCGATTTATATATTTTTAGAAAAATCCTTCTCCAAGTGATGTCATGCACTGTATAACAATGTTATTTGGTATAAAATATTAAAATGTCTCCGTTAAATTTGGTGAAAATCGATTCAGAATTGGATATGCCTCCCATATATTAGTTCCCTCTGAAACCAAACTATAACTGTTCTAAGGCCAAATGTTGATAGGTGGTATGATCTACTTAAAATAAATTTGTTTGTTACGGGAGCTCTACTAAATATGTCCAGTGGCGTAGGGCATTATAAAGTCGGCCCCGCCCGACTTTTGACTTTTCTTTACAGTTTTTTTTTTTTTTTTTTTTTTTGATATTTCTAAATATAGCAACAAGACACCTTGATATGTTTAGCTCTTGAAATACATTTTTGTTATACTAGACTCAAGACTTTAAGTTTAATCAATACAATTTGTAACAAAGCCCAAGTTCTAATTTACCTTTTTCTCTCTCTTCTTTCAGATTCCATTCATTTGGTCGTTGATGGCAATAAACAGTTTCCAACAAATGTAATAACAAACAAGTATGAGTTATATCAACATCAACATTCACCCACTCACACCTTACAATCCTATACAACAACAAAGTGGAAATACAAAAATAAGAACAACAAAAATGCCATCTTAAAAGCCAACCTCATCTTTTCGCAAGAAGTAAAACTATTTTAACAATGTAGAATATGAGATTGTGGTGTAATGTTAATGTGTACGTGTTACACTTTGAAAATAACAGGGCCACACACATACAGAGGTGCGATAGACATACAGCTAGAAATATCACAAACACCAAACGAGTTTAAAACTCATGTTAAATTATACCAGTATAAAAATAGTTGAACTATATTGCCTACAAATTAGAAGAAATTTTCAAACTTGTAGAAAGCTAGAGTAGTTTACATACCAAAAGTTAGCAAAACCAAAATCTTTTATGTTCCAAAAAATAAGGGTAAATGTCAGAACGATATTTTTGAGTTCAATGAATGAAAAGTTGAAAATAAATAAAATACTTAAAGAGTACGGTCCATATATTTTAATGTTTGAAGATTATTTCATGCAATTTTGACCACGACTGTGCCTCAAATGGTCCATCCGCCTAGTATAATTTTGGCATACATTTTCCAAAACTTTAGTCCGTGTCACACGAATAAATGCTTCAAAGTTTTCTTCCAATGCCTAAATTAAAGTGAGCCGGTCTCAATAGACATGGGTCTAAAAAGTTCTAAAAGTTCTGGGTCTAAAGTTCTACAGGTGTTAATATTATGGATAAAGTAAAATTCACAGATACAGGAAGAGATGAGAAAACTGCAACCAAATTCAGACTGCTGTCATTTCCAAGCCACTCGTCCGACAGCTTTTTCCAGTGACAGCTCAATATATAGTTTACAAGGGTGCAAAAGCATTTTGGTGAGAATTTTCAAGAAAAAAAAGTTATTCGTAATGGAATTCAAGCATGTTAGTGTGATTTCTTTATATTTGTTTGGAAAACCACAAGTGGCTATCGTTAGACCAGTTCAGCATTTAAATGTAAATAAATCTATTGTGTGTCGCACCATCGCTCGTTACCGTGATACTGGTAGCGTAGACCGACATCAAGGAAATGGACGGAAGAAAACAGCATCATCAACAGAAATGGTTCGAAAAGTAAAGAAGCGAGCTGATCGAAACCCACGTCGAAGTGGCCGAAAATGGCTTGTGAGCTGAACATATCACAGTATTCCGTTCGGCATATATTAGAAAATGAGCTCGGGGTAAAGCCATTGAAATTCCAAAAAGTGCAACAACTTACCCCGCAGCAGAAAGAAAATAGACTCAAAAGAGCTAAAGTGTTGCTTCGCTTGGCCGAAAGTGGTGAACTGCCGAATTTGGTTTTCTCCGATGAGAAAACATTCGCTGTCCAGCAGTTTGTAAACAAACAAAATGCTCATGTTTACTTGCAAAAGAGGTCAGCTGAAAATGTACACCTTCGGTTGGCCACCAGAACTCTAGCGAAAGACATGGTGATGGTGTGGGCCGCCATAACAGCCAATGGTCGCTCTCCGCTCGTATTAGTCGACCGTGACATCAGAATAAATACCGAATATTATCGCGAAAATATTCTGGAGTGTACATTAAAGCCTTGGGCACACAAACATTTTGGTCGCAGAAATTGGACATTCCAACACGACTCAGCACCATAGCACTCAGCATGCGCCACCCAAGAATGGTTACAAAATGAGGTTCCTCGTTTCATTTTCAGAGCACAATGACCACCAAAATCTCCGTTGGACTATTGTGTCTTGAGTATCTTGGAATGCAAGGTTGGGACTAAAAAATACTAAAGTGTCGTTCACCTCAAGCCAGCGCTTCGCCGGGAATGGGCCAAAATACCGCAGAGCAACATTCGGGCAGCATATGACAGTTTCATAAGCCGTTTGAAGACAGACGGGCCAAAGGTGACTAATTCAAACAAATCTAAACATATTCAAAAATTTGCTGCTATTTCCGAAATGTTTTGCTTTCGTTCAATAAAATTAAAACAAAAAAAAAAAAATTGAAAATTATGGAATTTTTTGTCTCATCCTGTGTTGTAGGGTATCACATTGTAAACAAAGTACAGTTCGCATTTATTGCCCTATCCAGATGAAATTTTGCACAAATCATTTGTTTGGCCCAAGGACAAACCCTATTGAAATTGGAGATAATCGGTCAAAATTTAGATATAGCTCCCATATATATCTTCGTCCGATTTGCCTTTCATTGTGCACCAAACCAAATAAGTATGCCAAATTTTATCGAAATCGGTTCAGATATAGCTATAGTTCCCATATATATTGTTCATCCGATTTGTTATTTTTGTCCTCCGCAACCGTAATATGCACTCTGTAACAACAATATTTGGGGAAATATATCACATACAGCTCAGAAATACATATGTTAAATTTTATCGAGATCGGTTGAGATTTGGATATAGCTCCCATATATAACTTCCAAACGTCTAATATTTGCCCAAATTTGATGAAATTTGGCACATACGATCGAATTGAGTCTAGAAGCCAGTATGACAAATTTGGTGAAGATCGGTTCAGATATAGCTATAGCTCCCATATATAATTTTCATCCGATTTGTTGTATTTGTTACCCACTGCCGTAATATGCATTCCGTAACAACGATATTCAAGGAAATATATCAAATACAGCTCAGAAATATCCTTGCCAAATTTATATTTGCCCCCATATATATCTTTATCAGATTTCAAATTAATTTTCCACCAAATGGGCAATACAAGTCCGAATTTAAAATATACAAATGCTTCGGCATATTTAGTCCTTTGAACTTTAAATTATATTTATATTCATAGCTTGTATGATTGAATTCTCCCATAAAAACTTTTAATTGTTATGCGCAGCTCCGGCCCGCCCGACTTTAAGACTTTCTTTACTGGTTATTATATGTATAAATTTCGATTCGAAAACATTTTCAATATTAATGTGATCCAAAGATCTCCTTTAAGTTCTTAAATATTTTATTCCAGAGTTCTTAAATATTTTAAAGCTTACCGTGGCCTTAGTTAATATTATACAAAGGGCCCAAACAAGATTTTTGGCCTGTGAATTCGTAATTCGGGATTGTTTAACAAATACGCGGTTGCTCTACAAATGCTGATCAGGAAGACTATAGGCTTGAAAAAAAAAAACTACAAATCCTCCTAGGTACCCCTCAAAGGCAAATACTACAGTTAAAATATCCTTCAAATTATCTGCTCTAGAGCAAATAGCATTCAAATGATATTCAAGAGGTTGAAGATACTTAACTCATTCAGATGACCCATACATGTTGGCCGGCGTACGAATTTTCGATTCATAATTTCCACCCCCCCAATCCATCCTATCTATCCAACTCCATCAATTTCATCGAACTCATTGACATCTAAACCGAAAATTAACATATCACCTAACGGCATAAATCCGTGATTTATTTTAGGAATTCATTGAAACCGCAAATCGAATTGTATTCCACAAAAGGACCCAAATAACTGTATTTGCTGTACAGCTGAACAAAAAGAAAATAAAAACAAACTGCAAATGAGCATGCGATTGTATATTTGTATGTGTGTGCGCGCGACTGAACCACAAACATAAACATAATTAACATTCGATTACGTGTCATGTTCGACATCAAGTGATGATATAAAATTCAATGAAGTTACGTGATGTCATGACTCTGCAAATACTAACGCGGGAACGACGACACGATAGCAAAAAGAACAGTCACTGCGACGACAACGACGACAATCATGCTGTCACAACTAGCTAAAGTGTGTGTGTGTGTGTGAGTGTGTGTTGAAGTCATAGTTAACGTAACGGAAACGTGAACCTGTGAAATAATTTACGTGAGTTTGGGTGCGCGTTTGGCATTAGAAAGCGTAACAACATTAACATCATTTGTCAATAAACAACAAAAACAACAGCAACAGCTTCCATCACAGGAAGACCACAAAGCATGACCTCAGTGAAACCATAAAAATCAAGCTGAAAAAGAATATCAAACAACAACAACAACAACATCACCAGTGACGTGGTGAAAATAGCAATCAACACAAATAACAACAACAACGACAACGTCGACACCATAATCGAACGCTTAAATTGAAAACGGAAGAGTGGCAACCTTTTCAGTTTCCGTTTCCTTTCTTTGATTTGTTCAACATAACCTAGCAGAAAAAACCTCAACAAACAAACTAAACCAAACACATCGTTATCTCCCCCAACCTACCCTCCCCTCTCCACCGCAACACATCTTCCCACCCACATCTTCTGCGGCAAACAGCATTTATTTTCGGAAATTCCTTTGGCTTCTCGTTTGTTTGCTTAGTAGCCTTGGGACGAGGACACTTGGGAACGCATTCTAACGCGTTGGCGCGTATCTAAAGCGTAGCGTAGCCCAATGTACCATCGTCGAGGGTGTGTTCCAACCAAAACGTGACACATGGCTATGTACTATTATGCAAGTAAGATATCAGCAATTGCCTGTGGTACACGTTGTCGACAGAGTGTTTTACAAAAATCTCGCGGTCAGCGGGATCGCGATAAACACCAACAACACCATCGTCACAGCCAACGTCACAAGTCTCGGCATTGTGGCCAGAATTCTTGCCAGGGTTCACCGAATTGTAGCAGCAGCAGTGAGGGTGGTTGTGGTCTGGCCAGTGGCAGTCGAACACCTGGTGATTGTACCACCGACACCGATGACGAATTGGACAATGGGGTCGATGGCGGCGGCATTTGCATACGCATGCACAAACGCAATCATGATAACGATGGATATGGTGGTGGTGGTGGTAGCGGCAGTGGCCGCATTTATGTCACTATTACAAATGATCCTGGCACGACGGAAACATCGGTGTCCACATTGGTGGCCATGGGCAGTGGTGGTGGCGGTGTGGTCAACGATACGGCAGCTGGGGGCAGCATGGATGGTGTGCGATATAGAAGACGTTTTAGCGAACAACTGGATATGTACGATATTGAGCTTGGGTTTCAAAAATTTGAGGTAAGTTATATGTGTACACATGTATTTCATTTGCATTTTATTTAGATCTTTTCGACGTGATTGGCATTTATTTGACAATATTCAGGGGTGGTTGGAAAAAGCAGGAGGGTAGACCGTTATTTTCCTATTTAAAGTATATATGACCACAGGGCACAATTATAAATCAAAGTTATAACAAAAACCAGTAAAGAAAGTCTTAAAGTCGGGCGGGGCCGACTTTATGATACCCTACACCACTTTGCTAATTTAGTAGAGCTCCACATAACAATTAAAAGATTTTATGGGAGAATTCAATCATACACGCTATGATTATAACTTAAAGTTCAAAGGACTAAATATGCCGAAGCATTTTTATCTTTAAAATTCGGAATTGTATTGTCCAGTTGGTGGACAATTAATTTGAAATCGGATAAATATATATATGGGAGCTATATCCAAATCTGAACCGATCTCGATAAAATTTGGCAAAGATATTTCTGAGCTGTATTTGATATATTTCCCTGAATATCGTTGTTACGGAGTGCATATTACGGTTATGGGTAACAAATATAACAAATCGGATGAATAATATCGGTCGTAAGTGCCAAATTCCATCCCATTTGGACAAATATTAGACGTTTGGTGTACAATAAAAGGTAAATCGGACGAAGTTATATATGGGAGCTATATCCAAATCTGAACCGATCTCGATAAAATTTAGCAAATGTATTTCTGAGCTGCATTTGATATATTTCCCCAAATATTGTTGTTGCAGAGTGCATATTACGGCTGCGGTGGACAAAAATAACAAATCGGATGAACAATATATATCGGAGCTATAGCTATATCTGAACCGATTTCGATCAAATTTGGCATACATATTTTCAGACCTAATTTGGGTGAATATGCAAAATTCCATACAATTCGGGCTGATATTACACGTTTGGTGCACAATAAAAGGCAAATCGGACGAAGATATATATGGGAGCTATATCTAAATTTTGACCGATTATTTCCAATTTCAATAGGGTTCGTCCTTGGGCCAAACAAATGATCTGTGCAAAATTTCATCTGGATCGGGCAATAAATGCGACCTGTACTTTGTTTACAAAAATACATGGACAGACGGACGGACGGACGGACATGCATAAATCGACTCAGAATGTGATTCTATGCAGATCATCAAAAGGAACTATGGGTCTATCTCGTTTCCTTCTGCCTGTTACAAACAAATGCACAAAGACATAATACCCTGACCACCTTGTGGTGTAGGTTATAAACAGAGATTGAAGGTAATCACTGACTATCTTAAAACCCTACCCCTCTCTGACAGTGGAGCAAAAGCAAAAATGTCGGGAGACATTTTTGCTTTTGCTTTTAACGGACGGAATGGAATGGGTTTTCCATTCCTCCACCATATGTAACTAATACTTTTAAAATCGATATATTTTTGTGATTAGAGACATAGAGGTCCAAATTTAAAGAAAACAAGTTAAAAAGCAGTAAGTTCGGCCGGGTGAACTTTTAATACCCTCCACCATTTGTAACGAATTTGGAAATTTTCAAAAAATAAAATCCTTAAAAAATTCTGTTAAAATTTTAAAAATACCGAATATAGCTGTTATATTGGGGTCTATACGACGTGGACATACATATGAATTGTTTGTCATAAGCCATTATCATACTCAAGTTCGAAACTGGACCCCCACCGACAATTTTCTGTCACAGACTGTAGTTCCCATAACGAACTTCAAATACCAAATTTGAAACAATTCCGGTTAATAATGTCGCTAAAATCATCAAAATACCGAACATAGCGAGGTGACGTTATATGGGGGCTATACGAAGACGTGGACCTGCACATATATATTTCTGTCTTAGGCTGTAGTATCCAATGCGAATATCAAATACCAAATTTGAAACAATTCCGGTGAATAACGTCGCTAAAATCATCAAAATACCGAATATAGGGGTTACCGTTATATGGGAGCTATATGAAAACGTGGACCTACATGGCCCATTTACGAACATAACCTGCCTACTGGAAAAATAAACATGTGTGCAAAATTTTAGCCATCTATCTCAATTCATTCGAAATATAGCGTGATTACAACAGACAGACGGACAGACAGACAGACCGACATCGCTAAATCGACTTAGAATTTTACACTGATCAAGAATATATATACTTTGTTGGGTCTGACATGAGTATTTCGAGGAGTTACAAACGGAATGACAAAGTTAATATACCCTCCATAGTATGGTGTAGGGTATAAAAAACAAGTAAAAAAGCTGTAAGTTCGGCCGGGCCGAACTTTTAATACCCTCCACCATTTGGTACAAATTTGGCAATTTCCAAAAAAAATACCGTTAAAAATTCTGTTAAAATCTTAAAAATACCGAATGCTTATACGACGACTTGGGCCTGCATAGGCAACTTTTGTCATAAATTATTACAATATTTAAATGCGAAACTTGAAGAAAAATCTGTTTATAATGTAGCTAAAATCGTCAAAATACCGAATATGGGGGCTATACGAAGACGGGGACCTGCACAGACAATTTTCTGGCATGGGCTGAAGTATCCATTACGAACTTCACATGCGAAATTTGAAAGAATCCCTACAAATAATGTCGCTAAAATCATAAAAATACCGAATATCGGGGGGTACCGTTATATGGGGGCTATATGAAGACGTGGACCTGAACAGATAATTTTCTGTCTGACAATGACAAAATTAATTTACCCTCCATAGTATGGTGTTATATCGGGTCCTATACGAAGGCGTGGACCTGTATAAGACATTTTTGTCATGGGCCATTACGATATTTTAATACAAAAGCTAAAACAATGCTGGTGAATGTCGCTAAAATCATCAAAATACCGAATAGCGGGAGGTACCGTTGTAAGGGCTGTACGAGAAAACCTGGACCTGCATAAGCGATTTTCTGTCACAGGCGGTAATTCCCAGTAGGAACTTCAAATACGAAATTTGATACAATTCCAGTGAATTATGTCGCTAAAATCATCAAAACACAGATTATTGGGATGTACTGTTTTATATGGGGTTAGACGAAGGCGTTGACCTATGTTAGCAATTTTCTGACATAGGATGTAGTACCCATTATGAACATGAAATTCCAAATTTAAAACATTTCCGGTGAAAAGGGTGATACAAATCATCAAAAAGTTTCGAATATTTGGAAAGACACTTATATGGAAACTATACCAAAACTTAGAGCTACATTGACAGTTCTATGCAGGGATATTTCTTACGTAATGGGAACATATGCTGTCAATTTAAAGCAAATTAAATGGAGACTATACCACAACGTGGACCCATGTAGCCCATTTTGAATACCAAAGTTCTGCAGACCTGCGACACACCTGAGAAAAAGTTTATCAACTTACTTTACTTCGTTAAGAAGATAGAGTGATTTCAAGAAACGAACTGATTGACGGACCAAATGGACATAGAATTTTATGCTGATAAAGTATATATATATATATATATATATATATATATATATATATATATATATATATATATATATATATATATATATATATATATATATATATATATATATATATATATATATATATATATATATATATATATATATATATATATATATATATATATATATATATATATATATATATATTTTGTGGGGTCTAAAAGTGTATTTGTATGTGTATTGAGGTGTTACAAACGAAATGATAAACTAAATATACACTCCATACTACGGTGGATGGTATAAAAACATGTAAATAAGCAATTAAGTTCGGTCGGAGCAAACTTTTTATACCTTTCACAATTTGCTAAGTAACTCATGTAAAAATAAGTCCATTAATTGTGAAATTCCAACATTCGAGAAGTATGCGTCACTTCTGTCATTAGGAACACAGAATCCAAAGGACAAATAATTGTACAATAAAAGTACAATTATAATAATTGTTTGGTTAAAGAGGGAACTATAACTATATAGGAGGCATATCCAATCCGGAATCGATTCTCACTTAATGTGACGGAGACATTTTAATCTTTTACATTAAATAGCATTACTATAGAGTACATGATGTCACTTCGAGAAGGATTATATTAAAAAAAAATATTTATTGAAGCCGCGTTCCACAAAGTGGAAACGTCCTCTTGAAACTCCATTTGGGTTGATATTAGCCATTATTTGCACAATAAAACTGAAATCGGATTAAGGATGTATATATATATATATATATATATATATATATATATATATATATATATATATATATATATATATATATATATATATATATATATATATATGTATATATATATATATATATATATATAATATATATATATATATATATATAATATATATATATATAATATATATATATATAATATATATATATATATATATATATATATATATATATATATATATATATATATATATATATATATATATATATATTATATATATATATATATATATATATATATATATATACATATATATATATATATATATATATATTTGGTGCACGACTAACCCGAAATCGGTTGAAGTTATATGGGAGCTATATCTAATAAGGTGATCCGATTGTCAAAAATTTCGATACGGTTCGTCCTTGGACCAAACAAATATTGTTTGCAAAATGTCATTTCAATCGGATAATAAATGTGACCTGCGTTTTCTTCACAAGAATACATGGACGGACGAAGCGACGCAATGACATGCATAAATCAACTCAGAAAGTTATCCTATGAAGATCCTCAAAGGTAACTATGGGCCTATCTCACTTCCTTCTCAATGTTGCAAACAAATGCACAAAGACGGTTAAAACATATATATCGGAGAAATTCGGTTTAAAGTGAAAACAATTCGGGCTAATATTAGCCATTTGGTGCACCACAAACCTTAAATCGGATAATAATATATACAGGAGCTATTTCCAGTTCCGATCTTTATAAAATTGAAAATAGTCATTTCTTGGCTCTATCTGATATCTAGCATTTGAGGGACTTAAACACCATATTGGATGAAAGCTATAGCTATGTCTGAACCGATTTTCACCAAATTTGATGTATTTGCTTCTTGAGTGAACTCGGTCCGATGGGCCAAAATTCAGGCCATTCGGGCTGATATTGGTCATTTGGTGCACAATTAACCCGAAATCGGCTGAAACGATCTTTATAAAATTTGACCAAAATCGGATTGTATCCTTTATTTCGCACATCCAACACAAATCCACATCTTTCGCTCCTAGACACTAACAGTGATTCAAAATTTCAAGATTCTAGCTTCAGACGTTTCTCTCTGGGTGTTGATTCTCGGTCAGTCAGTTATTTCACTTCTCTTTTATTTTTATAAGTCGTACATATTTAGCTGTCAGCATCAAAGTAACGTCAGAAGTGACCTTTTCGTGTACTTATGATTTCGTCAGGATAAAAATATTCACCCTTCAAATTGCTCTCTGGCTTGTCTTGTACTCTTACTCCTCGCAAAATACCGCGAAGATTGGCAGAGCAACTGCAAAATCAATAACTATGTTCTGTTTTTGGTCAATTCACTATAAACCCCTTTTTTGGTCCATTCATCATAAACCCCAACGCTATGCCATGAGGATCGAACCATAATTTCGACCTGAAGCGTGATCACAAATTTATACGGATGGACGAATACATATAGCAAGGTTGACTCGGCTAGATAGGAAGATTTATATGTAACATCGTGGATCTAGGACCAATATACCCCTAACTTATAGTGTTGTGGGATGTAAAAAGCAGAACAAAAACGTCTAATTTTTAACTTGTTTTAAAGGTGAATTTTGAAACAATTTGGTCTAGCCAATCATATGAATTAGTGGCAAAATAATTAAACAAATAATATTAATGTGACTTAAGGTTGTTGTATAGCTCCAATACAATATTTCGTTCAATGCCTGAATACATCAAGCCACCCTATATAAAGAATTATCACAGAAACACCTTTGAGGAAATACAACAATTTTTTTTTTTTCATTTTATTTTCACAGATTCCTTGTAACCCCTCATCTTCTATTTTATCTTATCGATAACAATTTTCAAGACACACAATTCAATGATAACATTACATTTCCCGCCCTTGCAAAGTAATTTCCAAATAGTCTTATCTCACTTTTTTTTTTTTTTTTTGGCTTTCTGTAGCCGCACATAAAATGGAATTGCCATTAGAAACACCATTGCTTGCCAGTAACAGAATCTGTTCATTTGTAATTCGGGACGTGTTGCAAAACCAAATGGCATTAGCATGTCCTACAACTCCATATTCACTTGAGAAGGTACTGTGAAGATAATGTCATCGTCCTGTTTGCAACTTGGGATCAGGATTTGAAAATATTAACTTGTGGATAATGTTTTTTTTTTTTTTTTGCTTTCCTATCGAATAACATGTTCTTTTTCGAAATTGGCCTGTGTCATCTTATCTTTACGACATTCATTTATTATCGTTCGCAGACAATTTACATTCAGGCTTATGGTTGGAATGCTGTTGCTTTTGTTATTGTTTTTTCTTGTACATTCAATTGGCTTTAAGATTCACAGATGTTTGCAAAAGGCAGAAATACTTTCACAAGTAGGGCACATTGTGTTGGCAATATTGGGGGAAGAAGATTGTGTTTAGGACGTTAAGTTGGTATGCTAGAATACTTTCTATATAGCTGCACGTTTTCTTATATCCCCCATATAACTGTACCTCCCGATATTCGGTATTTTAGGAATTTAAACCACATTTTCGACTAATAGATTTTATAAAAGGTTCTACCTTTTGTTGTAAAACGTCTGTAGCCCTCATGTAAAGGTATTAACCTATATTCGGTATTTTTGACGACGTAGATCACATTTTCTAACACAACTGTTAAAAATTCTCTACTTAAAGTCTTTAACGAGGTTTACCTCCTGGGGAAGAACATTGTCTACATAGGTCCACATGTTCTCAGTACCTCCCGATATTCGGTATCTGGACGATTTAAGCAACGTTTTTGGGATCGTAATGGATTCTACCATTTCGGTTAGCGAATATCGAGTGGTATCGTTATGTGGAGGCTATACGAAGAAGTGAACCTGCATACATAATTTTTTGTCGAAGGCTGTAGGACCCTTTACAAACTTTATATACGAAATTTTGAACAATTTCGGTAACAAAAAGTCGCTAAAATCACGTTAAATATTTCTTGGATTCAAACCAGAAAAAAATCGGGGTATAAATTCTTTTTAAGATTTGCGTTTCCTATTCTAAAGCTTTTTAATGATGAAAGAAACCCCAGAATTCGTTTTCAACTCAGTTTACATATAGCTTCATCTGTATAACCTAATAGTAAAAGTAATTTTACAAATATTGAAAGTGACGTAGATAATCTATAACAATTAATTTAATCGCCATCTAGATTTATTCCTTACAATGTATTTAATCATTTTGAAATCTGATCCGATTATCACCAATTTAAACAGGGTTCGTCCTTGGGCCAAACAAATATTGATTATAAAATGTCATCTCAATCAGATAATTAATGCGACTTGCATTTTGTTCGCAAGAATACATGGACGGACTGATATGCATAAATCGACTCAGAAAGTGATTTTAGTAAGATCCTCCAAAGTAACTATGGGTGTATCTCGCTTCCTTCCCAAGACATTATACCCTTACCATTATGTGGTGTATGGTATAAAAACATCCGCACTATATACGCCAGTTAGTACAAGAGTTCAATGACCGCACGAAATGGAAAAACAAATACAAAGTTCAATATTTGTTGTCGATAAGACGTCACATGTACACACACACACACATCAACTTATTTTATTTTTTTACAGGTTGACCCAAAATCAATTTATTTAATTTTTAATGAGTTCCGTCCAAATGACCAATACCATCGAACACCACCACCAGCAGTACAGCCTCTCAATAAATTCGAATTCGAATTCGTTTTCATTTTCATGTTTTTTTTTTTTCTTTTGCAGGTTTCCTCCTCAGCGAATACCACAAAGAACTCCATTACTGGTGGCTATGGCTTTGGCTATCACAACATGGCCTCTGGAAATGATTTAGTACAGTATGATGTACCCAGAAATAGCTACAAACGTAGTCATGGTGATGTCAATTTTGAGGTTGGTATTGGACATAAATAAATTACAGACACACGAACATACCAGCTGACATGAGATGTGTAGTACAACAAATATATACTCTTATTCATATATGTATATGTATGGTACATGTACTTTATAGATTGAGGATATGATTGTTGGATTTTTCGGAAATGTTTTTTCTTTCTTTTTTGCCACGCTCTCTCTCTATCTCTCTCTTGTCGTTGTTTTGTGAAAGATTTATGCACTTCAATGTTTTCCCTCAAATGGAAAATATTATTTTAATTGAATATTTTTAATAATTCATACAAAAGAATATTTTATACATAAATATATATTTTGCAACGTGTCTCAAAAAATATACATATGTGAGATATTTCAAAATGGATATGAAAAGAAAATAAATTCAATATGTATTAAAAATCAACTTTGTAGGGCATAAATACATCGTCAATAATGACAGAGGTCACCAGTTTTAAGTCTGTAGTTTAAAATAAGAATTAAGAATTTATTTTATCAGAAGAATCCTTATCTTTATCTTTAAATTAAAAGAGTTGAGTCATTGACTGATTCATCAACGCCTAGACCAAACGGCTGAGGCAAACATTTTGAAATTTTGGTTGACGGTCTACTTTGAGGCGGTGATGCGAGAAAATATAAGGGTTTTCGAAATCCTTTCTCAAAAGGTGCGAAAAGTACAAAACGTTACTAAATTGGGTACCGATAGTATTTTGCAAGTTAGTTTATCTATACTAATAAACGGCTTAAGTAATGAACTAACTGTCTGACTTAACGATTTATAAACGACTGAAGCTAGAATCTGGCAATGTTTGTGAGTCTTTCTCTTAGTATGAAGATGTCCGATAAGGCTTTTTATACCCTCCACCATACATAGAATGGATGGTATATTAAGTTCGTCATTCCGTTTGTAACTCATCGAAATAATCATTTTAGACCCAATAAAGTGTATATATTCTTGATCAGCGTAAAATTCTAAGACGATTTAGCCATGTCCGTTCGTCTGTTGTAATCACGCTACAGTCAAAACGAATTAAGATAGGAAGCTAAAATTTTGCACAGATTTCTCTTTTGTCTGCAGGCAGGTCAGGTTCGAAGATATCATATAACGGTACCCCCACATTTTTCAATGGAATTGTCTGAAATTCCACACAAGGAGTACCTTGTGAGTACTTTACCACCTGAAAGAGAATTGTCTATATAGGTCCAAGATATCGTATAGCTCCCATATAACGGTACGCCCCGATATTCTGTATTTTGATGATTTTAGCCACGTTTTTCAATGGAATTGTCTGAAATCCCACACAAGGAGGTAGTTATGGAAATTTGTACTTATGTGTACTAAATGGGCCTAACTTCGGTACAAATTGGATTTGGCTGAACAAGTAGAGCTGGTATCCTGAAATGTGGAATTGAGATTACTGTTGGAGTATATGCTTGGGTCATGTGGGTGGTTTTGGAAATTTGGAGCTGAAGTCCTGAAATTTGGAATTATTTTTGGAAATAAATAATACAAAAGGTAGTAAATGGTAAAAAATTAATGGTACAAACTTGAGTGTTTGGATTAGAATTGGTGGTGCTGTGTTGAAATATGGAGGTGGTCTTGGAGATACGTACCGTACCGTACCGTACCGTACTAAAGGTGCTACAATTTTCATTACTTGAAAAAAAGTACCAAGTGGTACTAAATTTGGTATTGAGAATTAAAATAACTGATTGAGAATCAACACCCAGATAAAACGGCCGAAGCTAGACTCTTGAAATTTTGCACGGAGATTAGTCATGTTTATTAGGCGCGTGATAAGGTTGGATTTTTGGAAATACATACTAAAAGGATACGAAAAGTACTAAAATTTATCAAAAATGTACTATTTTGTAAAACAAATGGAACGAGCTAGAATTTGAAATTAGATTCTCTAGTGGAATGCAGGATAGATGTATCAAAGGGAGAATTCTAAGTACAAACTGAAAGGTCACGAAGAGTTCTATAATGGTACTAAAATAGTACTATTTATTATCTGAACGGATAGAGCTAAAAACTTGAAATTTGGTATGAGAATCAAGGCTGAAGCAAGTCTAATATATAAATGTGGCTTTGAAAATGTGTGGTAAGAGCGCGAAATGACCTAAATGGTACTATATTTGGAACAATGTGGTTTAGAGTGAACAGATACTGCTTGAAAAATGAAATTCGGTATTAGGGACGCTGTTCATGTGTAGCCTGGACGTGAATAGGTGCTCTTGGAAAAGTGTACTAAAATTGTATGAAAAATACTGAATGGTACTAAATTTTGTATTGGATGAAGAAATAGAGATCAAATTCTGAAATATAATATTTCGATTACTGATGGTATCTGTGTTTAAGACTTGATGATGGTTTTGGAAATGCGTCTAATATTTGTACGAAAATTACTAAATAGTACTTAATTTAGTATTAGGTGAAGGAATGGAGTTGAAATTTGATATAAATGTCACTTTGGGTTTTTGTGGTTACAGAGGTGATTTTGGAAATGAGTACTAGAATTGTTTGAAAAGTACTTAATGTTACTAAATTTGGTATTGAGTGAAAATATGGAGCTGGAATATCAAAATTTGATATTGAGGTCTCTGTTGGTATCTTGTGGTGGTCTTGCAAATGTGTACTATAAATATTCGAAAAGTACTAAATGGTCCTGATTTTCGATCACTGTCGGTGTCTAACATTATATAGACATACTTCATTGGGTGTACGATGAATATTTAGAGGTGTTAGAAACGGAATTAATGTATTCTCCTTTCCATGGTAGAGGGTATAAACATGTTGCATCCTCGTAATGATATCTGGCATAAAGTGAATAGCATAACTGCCTTCCTTCGCAATATTTTAACTCTCTTGACGTACCCTCTACGATATTATATGTATATTACGTTTGTTATTCCAGCTATGTTTGTCCACCCCTCCTTCTGTCTGTTTAAAACACGTTACAGTTTAAACGATTTGTGATAGAAATCATAAACTTTAGACGGAGCACTCTTCTGTCAATCTCGAAGATTCTCAGGCCAAGTTTAAAAATGGCCCATATAACAGTTCCCCGAAATCCCAGGGATTTTGATTAAAGTCGTACATAATCGAATGCACGATTCGGGGAAATATTGCTTCCATGTACAGGGTGAGATAAAAAAACTGCAACAAAGTCAAATGCATTATTTTTAATTTTTTTTTAAATTTTATGAAATGAAAGCAAAAAATTTCGGAAATTACATCAAATCTTAGAATAAGTTTAGATTTGTTCGAATTGGTTACCTTCGGCACGAATTATGGCCTTCAAACGGCCAATGAAACCGTCACACGCTGGCCGAATGTTGCTCTGCGGTATTTTGGTCCATTGACCCGGCGAAGCGCTTGCTTCAGGTGATCAACACTTTGGTATTTTTTAGTGCCAACCTTGCATTCCAAAATACGGATTGGTATCCGGGGTTTTTGGTTGCCATTGTGCGCTGGAAATGAAGCGAGGAACCTCATTTTGTAACCATTCTTGCGTGACGCGTGCTGAGTGCGATGGTGCTGAGTCTTGTTGGAATATCCAAGATCTGCGGCCAAAATGTTTGCGTGCCCAAGGTTTTAGTACACCCTCCACAATATTTTTGAGATAACATTCGCCATTTATTCTGATGACTCGGTCGATTAGTAAGAGCGGAGAGCGATAATCGGCTGTTATGGCGGCCCACAGAAACACCATTGTCGGCGCTTGAGTTCTGGTGGCCCACCGAAGGTACACTTTTTTAGCTGACTTCTTTGGGAAGTAAACACGATCATTTTGTTTGTTTACAAACTGCGAATGTTGCGAATGACAACGAATGTTTTTTCATCCGAGAAAACCAAATTCGGTAGTTCACCACTTTCGGCCAAACGAAGCAACTCTTAAGCTCTTTTGAGTCTATTTTCTTTCTGTTGCGGTGTAAGTTATTGCAATTTTTGGAATTTTAATTGCTTTAACCCTTTTCATTATTTGCCGAATGGAATATTACGATATGTTCAGTTCACGAGCCATTTTTCGGCCACTGCGGTGCGGGTTTCGATCAAGTCACATCTTTACTTTTCGAACGATTTCTTCTGATGGTTCTGTTTTCTTTCGTCCACTTCCTTGTCGACGGGCTACGCTACCAGCATCACGGTAACGAGCACGAGACACAAACCATTTATTCACATTTAAATGCTAGAGTGCTCTAACAATAGCCATCTGGAGTGCTCCATCACTTGTGGTTTTCCATCACGAATAACTTTTTGTTCTGGAAAATTCTCACCAAAATGCTTTTGTATGCTTATAAACTATATAATGAGCTGTGACTGAAACAATTTTAACAGCTTGCGGACGAATGGCTTAGCAGTCTGAAGTTGGTTGCAGTTTTTTTTATCTCACCCTGTATATGAGAGGTTTATTCGAAGTTGTAGCTTTGCAATAACAAAATATGGCCTCTTAATAAGTAATTAATCCCTAATAATTGAAAATTTACAAGATTTACAGAAAGCTTGACTTATATTATTTATTGTTGGTCAGAATATCACATATTTGTCCCTGCCGACTAAAGCCTCTGTTCGCTTGTTTACATTGCAGACTTTCATCACGATTGTCTCATATAACTTAAATAAACGAAGGCACAAAAGCATATCCACTTTATTCCCAAAAGACCACCTCTGTGTAGGACACATGCTAACCACAATCATTGGATGGTGAGTGACCACAAAGGAAAGAAAAAACACAATTCTCATTGCAATATCCTCGTACTCATTGAGAAGGACTATATTACCATATCCTTTCCAAAATCTTATTTACAAATATATGCGACTGACTGTGTTCATTTTCCCTTCTTTTGCTTTGTAAGATTTGCCCAGAGGGTGTTCCAATTTCCATGGTATTGATCTTGTTCTGGCTTCATTTTCCACAATTTACCGTTTGTATTTACCTTTATAATGGCTCGTAACGGCATGTCGTTGGCAAAACGTTACCACTCCCAAACCATTTACTACCATCTCCCCCAAACACACACGCACGCACACAACAGTAAATTTCAATCAGCATACCAGGGGCTTCACTTCACTTGCTTGGTTTTTGTATGTCGTGTTCCGCTTCCACTAGTTCGACCGAAATGAATTGTTCATTCGGTTGTACAAGATTTCGATTAAATTCACATTTATTTTCATTATATTGAGTTGGGTTTTTTTCGATGGCACTTTATTTCAGTTTCTTTTGTCATGATTACATGCTCAACGAAGTAATTTTGGTATGTTTTCTTATTATTACCCGAGAGCACAATAGGGGCATCATCGGCATCCGAGTTGTTACGCGAATTTTTTGAGGTATACGTAACTATGGTTACTGTTAAATTCCATCCAATTTGTAGATTTTTGTGAAACTTGCATGGTGTGGACCCATGAATATGTATATACAACTGTATATAAAGAGGGTATATACAAGGTTTTACAACTAGAAATGTAATTTTAAATTACCCACCGAAATTTGAGAAGCAAAAATTGTAAAAAGTTCGGCAGGACTGAACATCCAATACCCTCCACCATTTATAAATAAAAGTAACAGGAATCAAAATTTGAATTTTAAAACCAATAAGGAAAAGTCAAAAGTCAGGTGGGACCGTCTACCCTACACCACTATGCATATTTAGTAAAGCTCCCGTAGCGAAAGAATTTATTTCAAATAGATCATACCACCTATCAACATTTAGAGCAGTTATAGTTTGCTATAGAGTATATATTGGAACCGAGTTCCACCAAATGGAAACCTACGTCCCCAAATTCACTGCATTTGTACTGATATAAGCCATTATTTTCCACAAACCTGAATCAGATTAAGGATATATATGGGAGCTATATGCAAATCTTGGTCGTTCTCGATAAAATTTGGCAGATTTATTTCCAAATTCTATAGAATATCATTGTTGTGGAGGGTATATTACGAATTGTAGGGACTTAAACACCAAATCGGATGAAACATGTGTATAGGAGCTATAGCTATATCTAAACCGATTTTCTCTGAACTCGATGTACTTGCTTCTAGAGTGAATTCGATCAGATGTGCCAAAATTCAGGTCATTTAGACTGATATTGGCCACTTGGTGCCAATTACCTCGAAATCGGTTAAGGATATATATGGGAGCTATATCTATATCAGAACAGATCTGGACAAAATTTGATACACTTATTTCAGAGCTCTGTCTGAAAGCTGTTACCAGGGATCATTGTTGTGGAATGCATATTACGCATGCGAGGGACTTTAGACCCCAAATCGCATGAAACATATATATGGGAGCTATAGCTTTATCTGAACTCTTTTACAATTTTGAAGTAATGATTTATAGGATAAATTCAGTCCATTTCGGGCTGATATTAGCCATTTGGTGCACAATAAACCTGATATCGGATAAAGATATATATGGGAACCTATATCCTAATCAGATCCGATCTCGATAAAATTTGATAGAGGTATTTTCGAGCTGTATCTGATGTACGGTACTAAATATCATTCTTGTTGAGTACATTTTACGCTTGTGAGGGACTTAAAACTCCAAATCGGATGAAACATATATATGAGAGCTATTTCTATATCTGAACCGATTTTCTCCAAATTTGATTTACTTGTTTCTATACTGAATTCTGTTAGGCTTGGTTGAAAAGAGGGGCGAAGCATACACTTAAGCAAATATAGGCCTATTGTGTGCTCTAGGCTAAGTAGTGGTTGAAAGAAGGCGGCAGTTTACAGTTGGTATAGACCACATATAACTTTACCTCCAGATATTTCAAATTTGGTATTTGTAGTTCGCTACAGGTACTGCCTCCTTGACTGAAAATTTCCTGTGCGAATCCACCCCTTCGTATAACAACCACAGCATGGTGCCTCAAAATGTTCGTTATATTGATAATTTCAGCTAAATTTTTCAACAGAATTATCTTTATCTTGACAATTTCCAATAAAAGGTTATATTTCTTCGTATAGCCCCCTTATAGCTGCATATCCTGATATTCGGTATATTTACGATTTAAGCGACCTTTTTTATCAGTATTATTTCAAATTTAGAAGTTGGGGTACAAAATTGGTATTATTTATATTTTGATTACTTAGCGGCATTATTAACCGAAATTATTTTAATTCTATAATATGGTGTTGACAATTGGTACTACGGAAATTAGTAAGGGACTAGAGCTTAGGGCTGGGCAGAAGCCTTCCTATTTTGATGGTCATCGGGTCATATTTAGTAGGTGAAATAGACAATAACATTCTTGTTAAATAAAAGTAAAATTTTCCATTAAACCGCGAATATTTTTAATCCCAGCGAAATCACAAATAGACGAACAGGTCAATTCTGACCGTTACGTAGATGCCGATAGTAAAAATATTGGATATATATAGCGGAATATATACAATGTGTATATACAATGGAAGGGGATGTTAGCTAGAATGCTTATATCTCAATAATGGTTGAACCGATTTTGATAAATTTTGTCAATTCTGAATGCCCTCATGGTATAATAGTACAAAATCTAAAAAATCGCATAGAAAGATCCTAATAATGAAGTTAATAAAGAATTTGTAGTATTTTGAGAAGACACGCCTGAGAAGAGAGTTATGGACATTGAAGAAGTCTAGCATTTTGGATGACCATTGGATAATATTTAGCTGCAAAATGGACCACAAATGTCCCTGGTAAAAAAACGAATGGTAATATCTGGGCAGTGCTCTATGAAATAACTTCAAAAGCGAAATCGTCCAAAATAGATTTGGACATAAGATAACTTTATATAGTAGTTTAGAGGGTATGGTATGGGTATGTGGTCGGCCCGCACGGCTATAGCCTTTGCTACTTGTTTTGAAACAGTTAGGTTTCGGATGAACGGATGATTTTGGAATTTCGAAATTTTGTATTGGAATCCCTGCTGGTGGTTGCTTTATTATAAAGACGTGGTTTTGGAAATAGTTACTACAAGTGCGCTAAAAGTACTAAACAGGAGTATGTTTGGTACAATTTGATATTGTGTGAAGAGATAGCTCGTGAATTGGTGTTAGGGTCGTTGTCCATGTGTAGTCTGGATATGGAGGTGATTTCGGAAATGTGTACTGAAGCACTGAATAGAACTATACTTGGTATTGCGTGAAGGTATAAAGATAAAATTCTGAAATTTGATATTTAGATTATTGATGATAACCGTTTTTGAGATTTCGCAATGGTTTGGAAATGCATCCTATATTTGTACGAAAAGTACTAAATTGTTCTAAATTTGGTGTAGGGTAAAGGGATTGGGCTGGAATCCTCAGATTCGATATTGATCTCTCTGTTGATATATAGAATTGAGATATAGAGGTGGTTTTGGAAATGTGTACTATAATTGTACGAAAAGTACACATGTCCAAAATGGAGATGTTTTTGGGATATGGGTAATATAACTGAATGAAAAATATTGTAAACAAATTGCCATTGGGTCTTAAGATAGAACTGGAATTTTGAAATTTAATATCGAGTCCATTGATGGAATATAATTTTAAGAGAAGCAAATGGCCTTAGCCTTTTTACGCAGAAAGTTTCCGATCCATGTTATCTTTCAATGAGTTAAAGACAATTATTCACCGAAATCATGTGATTTATCACCTTACGACTTCTTCCTTTAGGGCCACGTGAAAGATAGTGACTATGACAACAGCCCAGTGTCAATTCAATACCTCAAAAATAGAATATCGTACCACCATAGTACGTATTTCCTATACATCACTACTTCGTTTAACAGTATTTTGTACACCCATATTTTTTTTCTTTAAATACCAAAATAAGACTTCCTTCCTTCATTGATAGCTGATAATTTTTTGGTAAAACAATTTTGAATCGGAAGATCAGAACAAAGAGAAGAGGTTTTTCTATACCAAAAGTTTCAACAAAAATGTTTTCCATAATTGTTTTCAAAGTTCGCAGTATGTTTTGAATTTGAATATGGTAATGGCTTATGACAAACAATGCTTATGTAGGTCCACGTCGTATTGACCGCAATATAACGGCTATATTTGGTATTTTTAAAATTTTAACAGAACTTTTAAGTTTTTTTTTTTTTTTGAAAATTTCCAAATTCATTTCAAATGGTGGAGGTTATACTAAGTTCGACCCGGCCGAACTTACTGCTTTTTAAGTTATTCTTGGGTACTGAATATTTAATGTTGATCACTTTCTAAAATGTACTAATTATTTTATCCTTTCTCCATCTCTTTACAGAGCTCTGTTCTTGGTTCCGGTGGTATAATGTATATAAACGGTAGAATAGTTTCTGGTCCATTGGAATCACTGATAGATGTATTAGTACCCAAAAATATTAATGATTTAGATAAGGTAAGTAGAATAAAAATTGTTTAAACTTTATTAGTTCAATCGAATGAATTTTTTATTTATTACCATAGAAAATTGAAAAAAATATTGCAAATAAATTCAGGTTTTGCGCTTGCGAAAAAAATAGTACACAAACTTTCCTATACAAAACAAGAAAGCAAAGGCTAAAACACTACAATTTGCGGTAAAGTTTCTGCAGATGGGATCCAGAATCAATATATTCCACAAAACATGCAATCTATAAAAAACCTTCAGCGTTTGACGAAAATATGAAATTCTCCCTTTCGCAAATTGTTTTTCCATATTGAATATATTATTTTGATTTAATTTTTGAAATAATCTCACATATTCCTGCAAAAGTTTTTTATTGGCTTTTAACCAAAACCACGAGTTCATGCAAATCTGTCTCCGATATTTCGCTATATCCGTCAACAAAATCACCAACAATGAGAAGGCCGAATTTTTTCGTTGTCAGCAGTTTGTAAACAAACAAAAAGTTCGTGTTTACCCGTAGACCTTGAATACTCCAACAGGAATGCACTCAGCACGCGCCTCCCAAGAATGGTTACAAAATGAGGTTCCTCGCTTCATTTCCAGCGCACAATGACCACCAAAATCTCCGGTTACAAATCCGTTGGACTATTGTGTCTGGAGTGTTTTGGAAAGCAAGGTTGGCACTAAAAAATGTCAAAGTGTCGATCACCTCAAGCAAGCGCTTCGCCGGTTTTGGCCAAAAATACCGCAGAGCAACATTGGGGCAGCGTGTGATGGTTTCATTGGCCGTTTGAAGCCCATAATTCGTGCCAAAGGTGACCAATTCGAACAAATCTAAACTTATTTAAAAATTTTATGCTATTTCCGACATTTTTGCTTTCATTCAAAGAAATTTAAAAAAATGTAAAAATTGTGCACCAATATCCGTACAAATGACCTGTTTTTTGGGACACCTGACAAAATTCGGTCTACAAGCAAGAATATCAAATTTGGTGAAAATCGGTTCAGATTTAGCTTTAGCTCCTATTTATAAGTTTCATCCGATTTGTTGTTTCAGTCACTGTCATTCGTAAAATACATTCGACAACAATGATATTTGGTACCAGATATCTTAGTGAAGTCGGAAATACATCCGCCAAATTTTATCAAGTTCGGTTCAGATTTGGATATAGCTATATCTTCAACCGATTTCGGGTTAGTTGTGTAAATAATGGCTTATAGCAGCCGAAATGGAGTGAATTTCGGAACGTACGGTTTCATTTGGGAAATTCGGCGCCGATATATACATACTTTTATACCCTCCACCATGACTTTATCATTAAATATTCCCTAATACCCTAAATATTCGTCATAGACCATAATGTATGTATATTCATAATCAGCATAAAATTCTAAGTCGATTTAACGAGGTCCGTCTGTCTGCCTGTCTGTTGAAATCACGATACAGCCCACATTATTTGACGTAGAGCGTAAAAATTTAGCAGAATAATTTTTATTGTGTCTAGGATGGTTGGTATTGAAAATGAGATATAGCAGTCTACGTTTTGGTATAGTCCCCATATAACGGTACCTCCCGTCCGGGTCCTAGTTCGTGTGGTGAAACATTGTATGTATAGCTCCACGTTTTTGTATAGCCCCATTGAGCGGTACCTCCTGATATTCTGTATTTTGATAATTTTTGTCACATTTTCTAAAAATTGGTATTTGTGGGTCATAATTGGTTCTAAAGTTTTCATTACCCTAAGGTAGAAATGTAAAGTTTTTATACCCTACAACATTTTGTGTTGGGGGTATTATAAGTTTGATTCGGTCAAAAATTATGGAACACCTCGAAATATTGATTTCCCACATAGGAAAGTATATATGGATTTTCCTATCTCGCCGAGCTGAGTCGATCTAGCTATGTATGTCCGTCCGTATGACCGTCTGTCCATGTTAATTTGTAATCACTCTACAGGTCGCAATTATGGCCCGATTTTCAATGGAGGTGGTGATAAGGTCAGAATAGAACCCTATTTCTTGTGGAGATGATCGCACAATATTTAGGGGTCGAAATGGACCAAAAACTGAAAAATTTCTTGATTTTGCAGTTGCTCTACAGGTCGCAATTATGGACCAATCGACGCGGAAATTAGCATGGGGCTAAAGCTTCGGGCTGGGCAGAAGCCTTCCGATTTTGATGGACATCGTGTAATATTTAGTGGGTGAAAAAGACTATAACATTTTGTTAAATAAAAGTCAAATTTCCATTATACCGCGAATATTTTTAGTCCCGGCGAAATCATAAATAGACGAACAGGTCAATTCCGACCGTTACGTAGATGCCGATAGTAAATACATCGGATATGTATAGCGAAATATATACAATGTGTATATACAAAGGAAAGAGATGTTAGCTAGAATGCTTATATCTCAAGAATGGCTGGACCGATTTTGACAAATTTTGTCAATTCAGAATGCCCTCTTGACATAAAAATATAAAATCTACAAAAAATCGCATAAAAATAAGTCGAAAATGATCTTAATATAGATTTTGTAGTACTTTGTGACATTTTTTTATATTTTCATATTTTATCTCGCATGCAATTTTTTCAATTTGACTTATAATATTAAGGTGTACATTTTGTAATATTTTTCCACCTTACAACACAGGTTTGGGATATTATATACAGATTGCAATTATCGTCCGATCCTCATGAAAAGGGTAGGGTTAGGCTCAGAAGGGCTAGGCCTATTGTTTTCAAAGATGTCCGCAATATATTTAGGGGTTGAAATGGACCAACAACTAAAATGTTCCTGATTTTGCAGCCGTTATAAAGGTCATAAAGAGAGTTTAGGACAGCGTGTAGAATGGACCACTACTTTTGTCTGAAAAATACCAAAATTACTTACAGGCGATAGCCGAAATACACAAAATGCGAACTTCTGCCTTTTTATGCTGATTTCTTTGACGAATATAGCCAAATATCGTAGACAAGAAGATCATATAGAAGAGTCTAATTTTGGAGATACAGAGGAGCCTCTTGCTTTAGGAGATGATCGCAAAATACGACGGAGTGCGTAAATATTGGGCAAATGTCCCTGGTCAAAATGCTAAGGGTAATATCTGGGCAATGCTCCGTCACATTATTTCAAAAGCGAAATCTTCCAAAATGGATTTGGACATAAGGGGGCTTCTAACATATTGTAGTGTTGTAGTGCATCACATGGTCGGCCCCGCACGACTATAGCCTTTGCTTACTTGTTATACCCTCCACCTTGGAAAGGAGGGTATATTAACTTTGTCATTCCGTTTGTAACATCCTTAAATATTCGTCTTAGACCCCATAAAGTATATATATTCATAATCAGCATAAAATTCTAAGTCGATTTAACGATGTCCGGCTGTCTGTTTGTCTGTTGAAATCACGATACAGCCCACATTATTTGACGTAGAGGGCCAAAATTTAGCAAAGCTATTTGCATTGTGTCTAGGATGGTTGGTATTGAAAATGAGATATATCGGTCCACGTTCTGGTATAGTCCCCATGTAACGGTACCTTCCGATATTCGGTATTTTGATGATTTATGCCACATTTTTTTCACGGATTTGTCTTAAAATTGGTATTTGTAGGTCATAACGGGTCCCTGAGCGTGTGGCAAAACATTGCATGTATAGGTCCACGTTGTGGTATAGCCCCCATATAAAGGTACCTCCCGATATTCGGTATTTTAGTTTTTTTTGCCACATTTTTTCACGGATTTGTCTAAAAATTGGTATATGTGGGTCATAACGGTTTTCAGCTCCGGTGGCGAAACATTGCATGTATGGGCCCATGATTTGGTATAGCCCCCATATAACGGTACCTCCCGATATTCGGTATTTTGATGGTTTTTGCCACATTTGTTCACTGATTTGTCTAAAAATTGGTATTTGTGGGTCATAATGGGTCCCTGAGCGTGTGGCAAAACATTGCATGTGTAGGTTCACGTTTTGGTAAAGCCCCCTTATAACGGTACCTCCCGATATTCGGTAATTGGATGATTTTTGCCACATTTTTTCACGGATTTGTCTGAAAATTGGTATTTGTTGGTCATAATGGGTTCCAGCTTCGGTGGCGAAACATTGCATGCATGGGTCCATGATTTGATATAGCCCCCATATAACGGTACCTCCCGATATTCGGTATTTTGATGGTTTTTGCCACATTTTTTTACTGATATGTATTTGTGGGTCATAATGGGTTCTAGTTCGTGTGGCAAAACATTGTAATTATAGGTCCAACTTTTGGTGTAGCCCCCATATAACGGTACCTCCCGATATTCGGAATTTTAATGGTTTTTGCCACATTTCTTCTAATGTTTCTTTTACCCTAAGGTGGAGGGTATTAAAAGTTTGGCCCGGCCGAACTTAATGTTTTTTTACTTGTTTTTTACTTGTTTTGGTGTAAGTGATATCATGTACTCTATAGCAATGTTATTTTAAATATCTCCGTCGAATTTAGTGAAAATCGATTCAGAATTAGATATGCCTACCATATATTAGTTCCCCCTGACTGCTCTAAAGCCAAATGTTGATAGGTGGTATGATCTACCTTAAATAAATTCTTTTGTTACGGAAGCTCTACGACTTTTAACTTTTCCTTACTGGTTACATGCATGTAATTTCGTGGTGCTGTGACTTTTGGCATCAGATGTCTACGGTTGATATTAAATTTGCTATGCTTCACTCAAAAGTGATGGTTCATTCTATTGCTGAATATTATTCGAAAATAGCCTACAATTTGGGACTTCTTCTCTGAGCTTGTAACCTCTTACGTGCCTTCCGAAACTTTACTATACTTTAAATGAAATAAAGAATACAAACAATTTAATGATTATTGCTCCATAAACAATTCAAGTCAAGTATGTATTTCAATTAAAATATATTAAATGTTAACTTCCATATATTCCACAAAATTGCAATTGTTTTCAGAATTCACTCGGAAATTACAATGAATTTCCTCACAAAATAAAAATGTATACACACA